CTGAAAGTACAGTACAAACAGTTTATAGACAGATTCTTTACGCTTTTATGACTCAAGCTCCTAAATGAAAATATTTTATCCCTGAATAGCTTCATAAACTACAGTCTGTATTGTGTTTGACCTATGCAGCAAGACAGGTATTCTAAAGTAGAATACAGAATAAAATGAAGAAACATCATGCATTCAATGTATTTTGAATTACATTGGTCATATCAGTCTTACACAATTTAAATGACAGTTTGCAGGAAGGTTGCGTTTATAGTTTTCTATGAGCTTTATCAACTTCAGTAAAAAGTTTTTAAAAAAGTGTTTTGAAGCTTTATGTTTTGACTACCATTACCTACCTTAGTGTCACCTCAATGAAGATAGGATAACATAACATCTTTCAATTATTCATTCATTGAAATACTAAGACAAAGGAAGGATGTTTTTAAACTTCCTCCTTCCAAGATTCAAGTTCCAAGATTCAATTCAAGATTACTTTGATTACTCTTGTTCCACAACATCCAGTACTTGTGGTCGGCCCATGAGATGGTGGACTGCAAAGCACTATTCATCACTAGCATCACAATGTCACAGCTGCACAACTTGCACATATATCACAAAGAAATATGAATAATCTGACCGGAGCAGTGATTACGCTCAATTTATTGTGCTCTGTGAAACGCAGACCACCAGCAGCTTTGGCACATGATGTCACTGTGACCATCTCGTCCCAACCAAGAAGCTGGCCGATTAGAATGTTTGCCTTTTGTCAGGTTTATGGTATTAAGGCTTGGATCATTGGTCATTCATATTTAAACCCATTTACAGTCTAATATTCTAAGCACGGCCGTCCTTAGCTGACGCGGGGCCCCCCTCGGTCCGGTCGCGATCGCGTTCCGGGGGGCAGGGGTCCCCCTCAGTCCATTCGCCTCGGGGGCCCCTCAAGGACCCGTCTAAGGACGGCCTGATTCTAAGTAATTATTCTAATTAATTCAAATAAACATCTGAATCCTCCCTCTGCCATATTTTGTCTCTCAATAACAATAAGGCTTGAATTATTAAAGGGATTATTCACCCATAAATGAAAATTCTGTCATCAATTACTCATCCTCATATCGTTTCAAATCTGCTGGCACAAGAATGCGACTGCAGCAGGATCAAAAACACAAAATCTTGGACTGTTTATTACTATTGTGTCCATTAGATGGCAGCACCATCTTGTAAGCTAAATCAACAAGGCCATTCCTCAAACTGGATAACTCTAATTCTTCTTGCCATAATTGTTTCCAAATATTTGTGTGGATGCCTATTATTATTATTATTATTAATTAAAGGGGTCATATGATGCAATTTGAAGTTTTCCTTTCTCTTTGGAGTGTTACAAGCTGATTGTGCATAGATAAGATCCCTGAAGTTGCAAAGACTAAAGTCTCAAAACCAAAGAGATATACTTTATCAAAGTTAAGACTCTGCCAATTTTGTCAATGTCTGAATATTAAGTAGATTGTATAAAAATATTTCTGTGTCATTTCTGTTACTCTTATCAGTCTTCAACCCAGAGACCCCTTCACTACTTTTTCTGTCAGCTTACTGTTTGGGAGATCGAACACTAATTAAGATTGTTAATGAAGATTTCATTTAACACATATAGCACAACACAACACAAAACAATCTGCCACTCCAGCTTCTAAAGTCTACACACAGGAGGAAGCCAGGAGAGCCACGGGGAACATCAGGGAGAATTAGGTAATAGTTGCTGTAGATTTTTCTTATGCTGCAAACAAACATGCGATATTTGAAATAACCAAAACAAACACGCCCCTACCCAAAAAAAGATCACATCCCTATTTTGATAGCTCCGCCCCCAAATCATGAGTGGAAACGCCCTTTACTGGTGATTGGCTGCAAGTGTGTTTTGGTGCTCGGTCCAGTCAACTTTCAACAGCTTTTCTCTTTTCTCAGAAATGGCTTACTGCTCCTTTAATCTGACCTAAGGAAATCTTCTATTCCCTAAACCCCTTATAAAAACTTGCACGCATGATCATTCGTATATGTTCATACATTCCTCATGGGGACTGTTGGCTGTCACCACAATGTTTTTCTATCTTTGTAAATATTAAAGCCACCTGACCCCCACATAAGGCAGTTTGCGGTAATGTAGCTAAATATGGCGTGTAGCGTACAGCTCCAGCCTTAAGACCTGCAGGAAGTAAATTTTTGCTGTCCCTTTCAATCCACTGCCTCAGTGGGCCAAGTATTTAGCGGTCTAATTATCAAGGTTGGTGGGCATTTTGGTGTCCCAGAGAAAGCAGTTAAAAAATGCAAAACCGAGAAGTACTTAAAGTTAGCATACCTCTTCCAGATGTCTTGTGGTTGAGCTGCACGCTGAATCTATAGTTCCATTCTGAGTCGTGCAGGATTGTAGGGCAATTCACCAAATTAATCTTTAATGAGGACATTTTGCAGTGAATTAATGTATTTATGGTAAATTCTTTTTTGTTCTTATCATTGATGGCATACTTCTGTGCTCCATGTGTTCTGTGAGAAATGTTTTCCTGTCTATGAAAAAACCTAAATCTTCTGACACTACTTTTAGAAATAACCCATCTGTGGTATCACTGCTTCACAAAACATGCCCAGAAGCTGATGACCGTGATTTGACCAAGTACATGTTCCTGGATCAACATCCTTGTTGATCCTGGAACAACATTCCAATTAACCAATCAGAATTGAGGGATAACTTTTCAGGAAATGTCTGTTTTAGGCTTACAATCAGGGTTAGGTGCTTCTACACCCTTGTTAATCAGCTATCATTTCACACTGATTTTAGGAATAAATTATGGGTAGGGTTAGGTTTAGGGGTAGGGATTGGGTTTAGTCTATATTTTTGGACAGTAATGTTGATCCAGGATCAACAAAAGATGGTGATCCAGGAGCATGTCTTACTTGGCAAAATCACGGCGACCCCCAGAAGCTATCTTATTTGTTTGCATAAAAAAGCTAAAAACTCAAAATATTTTTTCTGTATGTGCATGTGTGCCAAGTTCTCACGCCCTGCCTATTTAGATATACTGCGCATTGCGTAATAACCTGCACATCAATTCATTATGTAACTCAAGGACAGAGCGTGCATTCATCCCTCTCCGCAAATCATTTTGAATCCTTCTCCTGATCTAAGTGAATTTTTAAGCAATTACACTCTCTTTGTCTCTCTCATTCTAGTCTACTATTTCCTACGTCAAGCATCGCGAATATAATTAAACCAAATTTAATCTAACAGGATATGCGCTGGAACTCATGAATAATTAACCAGCCTCGAATCGAAAAGATGGCAGTGTTTGGCTTGTTTATTTGCAGGCACTTGTGGTATTCGCTAACTGAAACACAATCACACACACATATTGCAGGATTGAAGTGAACGATAAGCAGGCTTGACTCGCAGGTGCAGTGGTTTGAAACGACCTTATTTTCCCCACTTTCATCAGATGAACTAAGGCTTGTCAGGCCCACTAATAAATCCCACTTATTTGATGTAATCCAGACTTCAGATAGAGCGAATTTCAAGGTGAACCTTGCAGTAAACTTTTGTCTGTCTTAAAGTGCGATCTGAACTCTCAGTTTCCATTATTGACCTTTAGTTGTAAGTCTGTCAAACAGCTTGGGAGTAAGTGGACTAGACATTGTGTTTACTCCCTGTCAACTTTGTCCTTGTTTGAAGAGCCTCTATGGACATCTCCAAAGCCAGCACTTTCATTTACTCAGCAGAGACAAACATGGACTAGAAGACACACGCAAGAGCCAAAAGTCAATTCAGTTAAGAGTTTTTCTTAAAATAAAATAAATAAACCGAGCATATACACATCAGGTCGCACACACATCACCTCAAAACATACTGTCTTTATTCAAATTTACAAAAAAGAAAAGCAAAAAATACAACAGAATAAATACATTTTTAGTACACACCATTGTGAGACCTCAGTACCAACAGGGCCCACTCGGGGCCACATCAATGCAGTCCAATAAGACGGCAGAAACCAGGATGAATGCAAGAAACTCCACACCCAGATTACAACTGACCTAATCTACCCGAAAAAAATAGGCAATGACACAGGAAGGAATCAATTCTTTAAACTGTTAAGACCCATTTACACCAAAAACGATAACTATTTCGATAATGCTAAGCGTTCTAATTCTATAAGAATAGGGAAGTCCATGCCATAACGATAACGGCACAGAGGAGCGATAGCGTTGGAATCACTTTCAGAACGATTTTTTTTTCCAACTGATGAATGTTAAAAACAGCCAATCAGAATCAATCCTGCTTTACAGCTGCAGATGATTGTGTGTTAGTGTGTACGCTAATTATGTAATTATCGTTAAAGCTATCGTTCTTGGTGTGAATGGGCCTTTATTCCTAATCAAATCAGCTCTAGGGGATCTTCTTTTCTTTAATCATTCTTCTTAACATACACTAGTATAGACATGAATATTTCATGTAACCTTTTTAGGCTCACATTTTGACAAAGAATGACATTTGTTGGGTTGTTTGGGAAGGTGTGGGTTCGTACTGCATGAAGCGCCCTGGTATTTGTGCACATGATTGTGCAGTGGAACAGTGGTTCTGGTTCAGTCCAGTCACAGTGAGTCCTTGTGGCCACAGACAGTGTGATTAATCAGGAGTGTGAGCTCATCCCAGAAAAAGGACTTCATATATATTTATTTGGAGCTTCTTCATTCAATTCAAGTAAAAATAAATGTTCCGTTCGGGAAGAGCAACACATCCGACATTGTACTGTGGCAGTGTTTACTCTGCTTCAGTCAATCCAGTGTCTTCCAGTTATATCCAGTGGATTTCGAAGTGGCATTATATATAATCTTCTCAGTTTTCATTTTATTATTATTTTTTGTTACTTGAAGACTACAGTACTGTTGTCACTTTTCACAATGGCATTCAGTGATATTTACATTTAAATGCATTTACATAGAACATCTTTTTCATGTTTTTTTTCCTCCAATAAAAAAAAACAACAACAACAACATTTGTAATTTATTTGCGAACATCATGTATAAAAGTGCATTCTAGCTGAAGCAGACCTGTCAGCTCTCATAAATCTTCACTTTTTAAATGTGGGATTTATTTTTTTTGACAAGTAATGGTTGTTTGTGCATATGTTTTGCACAATTTTAGCATCACTACATTTTAATTTTGTCATCTTTTTTTTTTTCTTGAGCAACTTCGTATACAATCTGTTCTTGGCAAAAATGTGTCATTTTGAACCCTGACAATGAGACATCCGCAAAACAGAATTTCCAAGCAGGGTTTAAAATTGATGCGTGTTTGTTTTCATCTGTGTGTATGTGTAAACACCGAGAATCTTTGTGCAGACACTTATTCAGGACTTTACTGTAATATTCAGTGCTTTCTTATGAATAATTCAGATCTCTTGCTTTTGTGGATGTATAAACAATTTCTGTACAAATATTAATTTTTCTATTCCCTCGTGTGTTGCCATACCTTTTCATCTGTGTTATTCCGGCCTTGTGTTTCTCATTCCCCCGTGGTGCCATTGTCTTTCACGCTGCCACAAAAATCAGAGTTGAAATCTTATTCTTTCTCTATCGTAATTAAATGTGATCTGGAATACAGTGAACTTTGCTTTTCGCTTACTGCCAAACACACTTAAGGAATGTTAAATGCTGGCTAAAGAAGCACCGCTCTGTGCTCACACATCAGCTTTTCAGCACTTATTGCTTCAAATTGCATCAATCACTCTCTCCACTGCCTTTGCTCTCTCTGTTCATTTTTCCCTGTCTTCCCTTATTACCTTTCCTCTTCGTCTCTCCCTCCTTACCCTTCACTTTTCATTATTCCAGCTCTTGTTGCCTTTTAATCACTGTCCCACCCAACCCCTCTCCTTCTCGCTCTCTCAGACATTCGCCTGCTCCTCGTCTCCAGACTGCTCACCCTTCTCTTCCCATTCGATATCTTTGTGCTTTTTGCTGGCTTCTACATCTCCATCATCTTCTCCGTTCTCCTTCTCCCTTTCCCTAAAAAGCTGGGCTAATTTCTGGAATTGTGGGCCCCAATCCTCCAGACCTGATCCCCACACCTCCTTCTCGGCGTCTTTGCCTCCCTCACTGTCCAGGGAGCTGAGGGACCCGGCGCGTGAGCCTGTGCCTTCCAGCCCGTACACCTGCACAGAGTCGTACGGCGGCTGCGAGGGGTCGAAGGTCACCTGCGCAAGGCGCAGACGCAGGAACTCGCCAACCCTTAGGGCGAGAGAGTGAGCACCTCCAATGGGCGCCCCTCTTCCGGACTCCTCAGGTGCTGAGGGCCATGCTCCACCATAACCCAGGATGCCCCCAAAAGCTCCCCGGCCCTGGCCGGGGTATGGAAGCAGCTGGGGCGTCATATCCCTCCTGCCCAGCGGGTACCCGGTTATCCCCACCGGTTCGTGCCAGTCTCCCATGAACCCGCCACCTTCCGGATATATCCCAGCACTCAGTGGAATGCTGGCCTCTCTCTCGGGCCTTCCCACCACAAATCCGCTGCCCATCTCCAGCCCGCCCCGTCCCAGAGTCCCCGAGTAGTCCCTCTGCTGCTCCCCCTGCAGGATGGTGGCGTAATTGCTGCTGACCGACTGCATTTCTGTGCTTCCGTTGGGAGCGTCTGCCACCCCAGGATGGTTGGACTCGGCAGGTCCAGCGCCGCTCCTACTTAGGGAAAGACTGCTCCGCAAGGAGTGCCGCCCAGCTCGGGGCAGTGTGGCGGAGTCACACACCCAACTGCCGGTGGGGCCTGGCCCAGCTACTGAGCCGGAACGGGTCAACACCAGCTCTCGTTCACGGGGAGCCATGTCTGGCTGGACCTGTCGGGGACGGGGAGGAGCAGTAGGGTTAGAGCGGGAGGTAAGGATGAGTTTATTCTTCTGTTATTCAGCAGAGGGACGTGTGTGAGAGAGAGGATTGTTAAGAAAGGGAAGAGAAAGCAGAAGATATTTCACAATGAGCAGGTGAAAACAGTGAAAAATGTGATAACAATGAAGTGAGACAGTAAAGTGTTAGTGAGTAGAGGAAGTGACAGTCAGACAGATGGAGAGGGAGAAACAGTTGACAATAGCTGAACCAGGTTAATTGAGCTCTAAAAAGAGCTAATGCTGCACTGTGAAATGAGGATGAGGAGAAAGAGAGACAATATGTGAAAATACACCTTCATCGTCAACCTGTTCTGCACCTACAAGAAAAAAAACTAGCAAAAACTAACCTACCAGCTATCTAGGGATGTGCAAAACAACATATTTTCACACATAGGATGTGTTCTCCTCACTTTTAATAAATCAAAAATGTGTCTCTTTCAGTGGGTAAATATAGGTGCTTTGCCACTGCATGGTACGGCTCGCTTCTGGAGGGTTTTCCACTGTGTACAGTACCTGGTACCTGGTACTTTTTTCAGTACCACCTCAGCTGAGGTTCCAAGCGAGCTGTACTGTTACCAAAATGTGACGTGTAAATCCTGCTGATCACTGATTGAACTTGTGACACGAGACACTAGACCTGCTAGATTAAATCAGCACAGCCAGCGAGGATTTTTTTGAACAAATGCAACAGTTTTGAACGAGCGCACCTTTTTTTAAACAACAAAATAATGGCTGTTTCGTGGTCTGTTGAGGAAGTGACGTTCCTCTCATTGATAGCCGAGGAGCTTTTGAACGAATGCAACAGTTTTGAACGAGCGCACCTTTTTTTAAACAACAAAATAATGGCTTCGTGGTCTGTTGAGGAAGTGCAGACGTTCCTCTCATTGATAGCCGAGGAGCGGATCCAGCAAGAGCTTGATGGGACGACGTGGAATTAAAAAGTTTTATCGACATGTCTATAATCCCGCCCACTCTAAAGCGGTACTAAACAGTGGAAACGCAAGCTGAGCCGAGCCGTACTGTGCAGTGGAAAAGCGCCATATGTCTGCATTGTGTATTTAAATGTGTATATGTTTAAAATCAGACATTAAAATTCACTAGATGCGTGACGGTATGCATGAATTTCTATGACAGCAAGTAACTTACAACAATATTTTGTTGCAAATCAAAATTGTAAAAAAATTTTATTACACATGGCTTTCTGCAGTGTAATTTTCTTTTTAAATTCACGCTTTTTCAGTTAAAACTGGATCTCCGTGTGACAACTGTCCCAGAGAAACACAAATCGTGAAATGAATATTAATATCAAATGCAAAATTGTTTCCCAGTCTCCAGTTCAATTAATGTTTATTAGACATAATACACGGATTCGATGCTGTCGGAGTGTGACTGAGAAGCGAGTCTTTGAATTAAAATTAGCCATACACTTTCTTTTTTTATTAGGCTCTGTGTTCACGTTCGGTTTACTAAAGCTGTTTAACTTATCCAGCCAAAAGCAACGATAGGTTTTCTAATTGCCTTGTCAGTATTGCTGTTTGTTTGAAAGTCCATTCATTATTAAACAATAATGTATGATTTAAAGGTCTCTGGAGAATTAAATAAATCAATTTAATTAGCTCCCTTTGGTTTTTACCCCAAATACTGGCTATACAAGCAACTTTGTGATTCTGAACATGGTGATTCTAAGCTTCTTAAATAAATAATAAAGATTTAAGTATGTTGTTTTACCCAATCCAGATCTTGGCTTTGACTCTGACTCTGCTGGGCATCCCTGCTTGCATCGTCCTTTGAGTCATTCTTCCTTGGCGTTCCTCCCTCAGATGTGGTGGCTCCATCCTGAGATGCTGTCCCTTCTTTAGAACCATGACTGGCCTCTGCTGTTGGCACATAAATAGCCCCGGGCTCCAGAGGTCCAACCACAGCTGCCTGGTTTTGAATGACTAGAGAATGGTCTGGTTGATTCCCAGGTAAGCGGTAAGCCAACTCAGATATGCCAGGCTCATAGGGGCCCTGTGAGCGACGCAGCACTGGGAGGGTGTGGGTGCTGTAGCAAAACCGCCCATATAGAGGGGCTCCTTGACTGGCGTACTGCCCGGGGTCCATCGCTCCAGCCTGAGCCCAGCTGCTATACGTCCGAGACTTGTCCTGACCGTGTTGTGAATAACGTCTGAGGGAACACAGAATTTATCATGAAAGGAAGTTTTATGCAGATAAAATAAAATAAAATAGAAAATAAACGGCAGCACCACAAAAGTAGTCCATATGACTTGTGCAGGATATTTCAAATCTTGTGAAGACATACAATAGCTTTGTATTAGAAGCAGACCAAAATACAAAGGTTATTCACATGAAATCTTCCCATCTGCCATGGCTTTCATGAGTCATGAAAAATGACAGATTGTGATAGTTGCTTTTTTTTTTGTTTTGTTTTTAGTCATATTGTTTAATTACGTTTTACCTGTATGTTTTTCTCGAGTTTGTGTGCAGCCTCAGGAGAGGTAATGTGATAAATGTGATAAAGTCACAGGTGTTTCAGATGATGTGGTCTGCTGGGAGCTCACACTCTTCAAGCCTACTTCTGCTTTTGTTTGATGTGCGCCTTTGATTTGCGCTTTTGATTTAAACGGATTAAACTGATTTATTTCTCTAAAAACAAAACCAATGTGAAAATTAAATGTGAAAACTTACCAATTCCTTGTAACATTTCAACATAAAATAAACAATGATCAACTCATCATTCATCATAGACAATGGAATTATTACATCCCAAAAGAAGTACAGTGCCTAAAAGGCCGCGATTTATTAAAATAAATCACTATAAATACGATTTTTCATGGTTTTTAAGGGTTTTGCAGAAGATTTAAGGCAGAATTAAAAGTAGGGATGCACAATTTGGAGCAAAAAAAAAAAAGTGATTTTTCTGATAAAAATTGTAATGGTTTCTTAAACAGCTCCAGGTTTGCTGTGCTTGTTTGTAGGGCTGCATTTGTCCAAAAATGTTGTGATTATATATCAATATGACTATAAAATATAATAATCATATTTATTATTATTAATAATATTAATAATTATTATTTAAGAAAAATATAATAATAATATTAACAACAGTTTTATTTTACAGTACAGCTACAAAATTATAATACCAACATTTATGGCTGTCTTAATGTATTTTCAAATGTTAAAACTTAAATTGTGTAGTATGGAAAAGAACAGTCAGGACATTCCGTTCAACATCTCCTTTTGTGTTCCATGGGATGAAAAACAAAACATACAGACTTCAAACAGCATGAGTAAATTATGCCAGAATTCATTTCTGGGTGAACTAGCCTTTTAAGTGCATTGAGCACTTCTTTATTAATGTGCAGGAAACATGAGTTGATGTAACAGATGTAGCCGATGTAATCTTTCATCAGATGCGCCCTGCTGAGCACCACTCACATGTTCCTGCTGTCCAGGGTGCGGTACCCCCTGCGTGCGTTATGTGGGGCGCTCTGCAGCGCTGTGATGTCAAACGCAGCTGTGTCAGCCTCACCCCCTCCTTCATCATCATACGTGATGATATTCTCTCTTACATCATCCTCCTCTAAAGGCGAGAGCGAGTCCCTTTTCTGCCTGCGCAGGGACAGAGACAAAGCACTGACAGCTAGAGAAAGAGAGGAGAAATAAAGAGGGAAAGAAAACAGTGAGAGATGAAGAGAAAAAGAGTAAGCGTTTTATGATGCCATTTATAAAAAGGGAGGACGTGTATGTTTGTGTTGGGTGACAAATTTTTGCAATAAAATTGCATGGTGCTATAGAAAAGCAGGTACTCAATAGACACATTAGAGCAGCTGGCAAACTAACACTTACACAGACTGATGCCCCATAATTACATTTATTACACAGCTCTAGGGAATTCTCGATTCTGATTGGTCAATCGTTGCATCCAGTGGTCTGACACTAATATTCACCGTCGTCAATGACAATGCTGTATATAAGAGCGTTAATCCAAGTGACCTAAACAGGCAACATTTCTAATTTTCATTGCAGTTTTTATTTTATTTCAATTACAATGATTATTTTAATACCTTTAGTTTCAGTTTACCAATAACAACACAGATAAAGGTAAAATTACAAAATAATTTAAACTCAGATGTGCTCTGAGTCTTGGTCCTGACCACACTGTCTGTGTTTATTTTGCAATAATGATAATCTGACTGTACATTACCATTACCATTTGGAAGTTGCACTAAACCAGGGCTGTCCAAACTCGGTCCTGGAGGGCCGGTGTCCTGCAGAGTTTAGCTCCAACTTGCTCCCCTCAGACAGGGACATACGGACACTGTGACTGTCCCCGTGCTGGTCAAGCCAGAGACCCCGTCCCTCAGGACCAGCGGTACGTAGAGAGTGAGGGAGGATGAAGTAGAGCGAGACAGTGTCTGCAAAGGTGACGCCAACACCAAACTAGCAGTGGGGCCTAGAAAATGAGAATAATAGCAAAGAAATGGAGATACACAGGAAAAAAGGGGGGCTTTTAGATTAAATTGAACTCGATGGAACTTTAATTTAATTTAACTCAATCGAGTGCAGTTTAATTCCATTGCTGCTCGTATAACATTTGTACAGACCAGTGAGTTCAAATGCAGCATGAATGCCAGAGCACATTTTGTCTGTGTGTGCCGGGAGAAGATAGATGTGGCAGAGAAGCAAAAGCAAACAATAGGGAAAACAAAGGAGCAAGGCACAAAGCAGCCACACAATGCGGTTGCAGACACAGACTAACGGATCAAGAGAGATGCCGATGCTCATGGCTGGGTGGGAGAAACAAATTTTGGAAGAGACTGCAAACCTCCACTCTCCCTGATGCTGAAGTTGAGGGCAATGTTGGAGTCCGGAGGGATGTTGAAATGGACGGTGCTGTCATTTCCTCCCTCGTCTCTATCAATCGCCCGCAACACCTGCACCACCTGAGAAAATGAGATAGGAGAAAGATGGAGAGAGAGAAAAACAAAATAAGGGGCAGAGCCAAAAGGGAGGAAGGGGAGAAAGAGAAGGAGAGCAAAATAATAATGGAGAGAGAGAGGAGAGATTCATTTAAAAAAAAACGATCCACATTTTAATCTCAGATATCAGCATTAACCTCACCAGCACCTTTGCAAATAGGTAGCTAGAGACTGATTAGCCCACACCGCGCAGTCAAACAATAATTAACTCTGACCGAGTAGCGAGCCTTGGGGAACACCCAAACATAGACACAGCTTTAGCATGTGCTCTAAAAATGAGGCGCCGACTCCAGAGATCCACTTAAACTACAAATAATCACTTGATGGGTCTGTTTTTGCAATGCTCCCCCCACACATTAGGGAAAAAGTTCAAACAAAAATGGGCCGTTTGATGCAGATCAGAGCTGTGGGTTAGGCAGTTCTGCTGAGGCATGAAAAAAGTTTTTTTTTCTGTGATTTCAGAGCTGCACGGTGATAATGTCAAGTCACATTAGTAGTTTTCATAATCTAAAGGGTCACCAAACTTTTCGGTTTCTTGCAGTAAGAAGTTATGCAAGCTTCCAGTAAGACCTTCCAGCATTCAGTAAGACCTTTTCTCAAAAGGAAATTACACTGTGCCCTAACAAGATAAATCGAAAAAGGCCTCTCCATAATGTGACTTGCAGTAAGAAGTTATGCAAGCTTCCAGTAAGACCTTCCAGCATTCAGTAAGACCTTTTCTCAAAAGGAAATTACACTGTGCCCTAACAAGATAAATCGAAAAAGGGACCTCTTTTGTCTCAATGAGAGTTTTTGTCATAACCAGCTACAATCACAAGCAACCAGTAAGACAACAGTTTGTTGGTCATTTGGTTGATAGGTCTGCTACATTGCATCTAGTTGCACCACTCACATTGAAATTTACACTAAATATACAATATCGTTAAAAAGTTTAGGAGTCAGATTTTTTTAAGAAATTGCTTTTGTTCAGCAAGGATGCATTAAAATGACAAATGTGACAGTACAAATGTTTATAATGTTGCAAAATATTTCTATTTAAAATTTTCAACATTGATAATAATAATAACCCCAAATCAACGTATTAGAATGATTTCTGAAGAATCACGTGACACTGAAGATTGGTGAAATGGCTGCTTAAAATACAGCTGTCACAGGAATACATTTTAAAATATGTTAAAATAGAAAATTTAAAAATGTACAAATCCCACTGATAAAGCATCACTGAAATCATTAAAATACAAACTATGTGTTCTTAGTTGTATGCTCTTCAGCTGCAGCACGTTGCGAGTGAAAGAGAGTTTGCAAAATGAGACACATCGTTCTGATTGGCTGCAATTTGTTGTTTGTTTAATTGTTTCAAGCCACATCCTTTTTTGCATTCAATATGAACAGACAAATCAGACTGATATCAAACTTAAAGTGCATGTAAACCCATCCAATGTTGCTCCAGGACCAACAAGGTTAATAATAACGTTGATCCAAGACCTACTAATCCTAATTGGGGAAATCACAATAAGCTTTCATTTGACCATAAGCTGTGAAGACAGCGAAATGATGAAGACAGGAGAAAGGAAACAAGCTATGACAGCTTCACAGCTGCATGCCACCCAATTAAGAGTTAAAGAAAAGACATGAGTCAGACAAGGGGGAAAAAACACTACAGAATCATGGAAAGACAGGCACTCGAAACGAATGAGAGAACTGGAATGAGAGGCAAAATGGATGGAAAGCCAACAGACCAAAAGATGAGCAAATTATAATGTATATCTATAGAGGAGATGAGAACGTGTGAAGCATCCTGTATATGAGAACAGCAATGATTCAGCTGCAGGGTAACGGCAGAACTAATCAATCAGCGTGCAGGCTGTATAAATGGACACATTCACAGATGTGCTCAAAAAAAATGACTGAAAAAAAAAAAACTTTAAGCACCACCAAATCCATATGAACACAAAGAGCGTGAGTCTAAAGGGCTGAAGGGCTGAGAAAAGGTAATTAATCACCCATAATTCATCTGTGACAATTACCTAATTGCAGAGCTTAACAAAAGGACTCTCATTAGAGCATTTCCTGTGCTTTTACATTCTGGTGGAGTAACAAATGAACTAGTCATTGGAGACAAGTATGACCTTCCTTGCATCCATTATAACATGTGGCTTGTTCTCTCACCTGTCCCTTGGAGGCCGAGTCACACATGGCTGTGGTGTACTGCCTGTCCAACTCGGGTGCATTGTCATTTAAATCCAATGTTTCTACGGCAACCACCACCCTAGACACCTGGCTGGGGTTATCTGAGGAAGTTGAGAGAGCAGAAAAAGGAAGTCACCAAAAATACACACGCACAACACAGCTTGAGACATGCTCGCCTTGAGTCTCGGCCACTGAAGGTAAACTGTCCTCTTGTAAAGTTTATCACACACTTCCATGTGCACGTTTTAATGAGAAATCATATGTTGAATGGTGACATTTTTTACACAATCATGCTCTTTTCCCAAACCTAGTGAGCTGCCTAGCATTTGTTGTAATATATCACACATGAAAACATTTCAAGTAGCTTCAATATAGCAGACTACTGTACTTTTTCCCATGTAGATTTTAGTGCAATTAGCTACTTCCCCTGATGGGCAAATGGTCAGAATGCTAGGTAGCAGTAGCATGGCACCTCACTAGGTTTTGTAAAAGAGAGTTTCGCAAAGATTTCAACAGCCTCTCTTCATATTCTAGACGAATGGCTTGTCGTGACAAACAAATAGCTTTGAGGAGCTTTTAATTCAGAATAGCTTTCAGTTGGCATATTGGTACAGTTTAGGTTGCACTGGAAAACAAACTTAATGGATTGGTGTGAGCCTAAAGAGAAATTGAAGCATTCTGTCTCTCTCATTATAATTCAGTCCCACACACTTGCCTGTGGTTTGGACTGCTTTCACACAAATGTTTTGGACTGGATCCACACATACACATAGAGCTGTGACATGATGTTGTGGATTAGTGCCCACTGCTTCACATTACTGGGAAAAGGCTTCGCCTACAATAGCCATCAGGCCTCCCTGAAGCTGCTTAGACCTACTTTCCATACTGTAACACAGCACCATAGATCCTCTAGTAACATGCCTCTCCCCTGAGCAGTACAAATTCAATGTATGTTTAAAGCATTTAATCCATGCATACATAATAAATAAATCATAAAAAACACAAATCCATTACATTTTAGCCATTGATATTGCAACCTTATAAACTAGACAGTTTCGAGAGAAGAGGACATGATGTAAAGGTTGTGATCAGTAATGTTGCAAACTGGATTTGAACTTGTTAGCATCACTATATTTACTAGTAGACATGGTGGCATGAACATTTTCAACCCGTATTAAGCATCCTCGACATAATGATCAGAATGCCATACTGCTGATGTCCAAGTCAGTGTACCTTAAGGAGCTATGAACTATAAATAGCAATGCTAACATTTTCCAGTAGTGACAGTAGCTCTGCAATTTTCAAAATAGTGCAGTTTTTCCAGTAACAAGCTACTTTTGAAACACGTTGTGGTGTAGCGTGACAAATCACTGTTTTTAATGTCCCATTATATTGTGCACACAGCCGAGCAAACTGAGGCATTAATCTAACGTGCTCTCCTGAACTGTATTCTCTCTTAAATGTAACAACGTTGGAAAGTCTGAGTCATTTTAGTGATTTAAACTTAAGCATATGTAAAATACTTAAATATATGTAATTATTTCTCAATAAAAAGAGGCAGTGATTTCTGCACAAAGACATGATTCGATGATTTGTTTCTTTTCAAACTGGTTCATTTCCACTATCCAAACAAACCTTTTCAAAAAGAAATGATTCACTGATTCATGCCTGTGTGCAGCAGTGTTGTTAGTGTTAACTAAAAAACTTTTTTGTTAAATGAAATAAAATAAAATGAAACGTAAATATTAGACAAAAAACATTCAAATTAAAATTATGAAATGTTGCCTTGGCAATTAACTGAATCAAACTGAAAGCAAATTAAAGCTACACAGAATATTTAAAAAAGAGACAAAATTACAAAAACTACAATTAAAAGGAAACCTGAAAAGAAAATCTAATTCTAAATATTAATAAATACTAAAATTGTATATAAAAATACTGAAATAAAACTGATGTGCAGAAGTCACTGCCCTTTTTGTTAGATATATTTAGATATATTCTATAGAATATATCTAACTTAGATACATTTAGCAATATTATAGTAATATTTAGCTATATTCTATTTTTGTTGTTATTGTATTACACTATGTTCAAGTGTAATGCTCTCACCCTAATCAAAACATACTCATTCAATGATTCAGAAACTTCTGAGCTCTGATTAAATTATATAACTGGACAACTATATATGGATATTCATCCAATTATGTTAATTATATTATTATATAACTGGATAATTAACTAGCTTCCATGTAGTTAGCTACTTTTATTTGTAGCTTGTGATATAGCTCACTACTTCCCTAAAAGTGTGACTCTGTGTATGTACCTCTCTGTGTGGCAATGATGGTAATATTGTGCCACTGCTCGTGCTCACGGTCCAGCTCGGTCACCGTAGTGATGAGTCCGGTGTCTGGAGTGATGCGGAACAGAGCTTCTGGGTCAGACTGAGGATCGATGGAGAACCTGAGGGAGACAGAAGATAAAAAAGACAAACGGAGAGGGAGAAACGTGTGGCATACACAAGAGGTGAGCAGATGCATGAAGCCCCAGCTCATCAGAAAATCTGTCATTCAGGAGCTGCTTTAAGCCCAGGAGCGGAAAACAAAAGAGCCGTGATTGGCAATGTAAGAATCCTCAGATCCCTAACTACTGTTAAAATAACTATAGCTCACTGGGATGAATATTGATCATTCCATGTGGAAACACGCCTTGTAACAAGAATACCCTAATCTCTGTGATAATGTTTTGAAGTGTTTTAACATAAGACACAGAATAGCATACAACCATAATTAATTAATGACATCATGGCTCTGTTCCAAAGCCTAATAAGCTGCCTAACCGGACGGCTGCTTTAAGCATCCCAGGCACGTTCCTGATGCGAAGGCTGTTCCAAACAACAGGCAGCAAAATTATGCTGCCTTTTTAGATTCCTCTCTAGAGCCAAATTCTAAAGCAGCATGTGTTTCCACTGTTAATAACTTTGTGAATTTAGCAGTTTTTTTAATTTACATTTTTTTTTATTGTAATGTACATTTAAGACACTATACTTTGTGTTTTATTACATTAGCATTGATTAATTAGTTAACGCTGCTGTGTGAGTGTTTCTCTCCTCTGACCAATGAGATCCATCTCTTAACATTTTGTCATTTTTTTGGAAAGCCATATGTGGAAATGGTATGTGGACTTTTTCTTTTGAAATATATACACACACACACATATATACATTTATTACACGGCTCTGTGGAATACTTGATTCTGATTGGTTAGTCGCGACATTCCGAGGTATGTTATCCCCTGTTATTACACGACTATGGAATACTTGATTCTGATTGGTCAGTCGCGACATCCCTCAATAACAACCGGTAAAAGCTGATAACACAGGCTCATCCGGGTACCTGAAGTCGGCGCTGTACTTTTGCTAGGAACAGTTTTTCTTGGTGGAAGCTTTGCGTTTGGTTAGTTAATAAGATATTAAAACTCGATTCAATATTATGTGTACAATTATTTAATTACGTCATCCTGGTATCGCAGACCCGCTCTCTCGTTTCATACAAACGCAGCTGCTGCCATTTTGCGACGATTGTTTTGTACACTGTAATGGATTAAAAGAGAACTAACAAACTGGTAAGATTTTAAAACAGTTTTGTCTTAAATCAATATATTTTATCGCCTTAATTATTTATGTGGTGAAATTGTGTAAAAAGTGGTATGACTGCACCGTATCCCTTAATGACTGTCTAGTTTGAACCTGCCACTTGCTCACAACTGTTGTCTTAACGGAAGCGTTGCGATCAAATATTTCAACTCAACATTTTGTGTCTAATTATTTACTTATGTGGCAAGTAGCCGTGTAATAAGCGGTGTGTCGGGGTCCTGATCACCCTGCCGGGGGTTATTCTGCGATAACAACTGGCTGGATGTACATTATCCCTTACATATTTGTTGTAGTTTACATTCACCACTATAGCAGGGTTATTATACACTGAACAAAATTATAAACGCAACACTTTTGTTTTTGCCCCCATTTTTCATGAGCTGAACTCAAAGATCTAAGACTTCTTCTTAGATCTTTGAGTTCAGCTCATGAAAAATGGGGGCAGAAACAAAAGTGTTGCGTTTATAATTTTGTTCAGTGTAGTTAACTAAAACTAAAATCATAAAAAAATTGTTAGTTGATATAAAATAACCATTAACTGAAATAAAATAAAATATTAAAAAAGTATTATTTCTGCTAGTTGCCAATGAAACAATTTCTCATTTTAATTTAGTTTAATTTGATGTACTAAAATAACTAAAACTGAAACAATGATGAATTAGAACTATACATATACGTTTAAAAACAAATAAACAAATAAAAATGCACAACAAAATTACCAAAACATTGACTAAAATGAAAATGGAAAATATAATAACTATATATAAATAAAATAAAAAATATAGAAAAGATATAAATAAAATATAAAAACTCATTAAAAATATTAATAATAATAGTATCTCAGTGATACTAAAATAACACTGCTCTATAGAAGTTTACCAAATTATGATAACTTCTGCTTCTGAGAACCCCGAAAATGTGGAAAAGGGTCCATGAGCTCAGCGAATATTTTCATTCAAGATGGTGCATGAAGTCATTTTATTCAGAACATAAAAGTTTTGATAAATACTTTAAACTACACATTTAGTGTAGTGAAAGAATGCAGCCTGTACCTGATGTTGTTTGTGAGCCCCGTATCTGGGTCCACGGCACTGACCCGTCCCACTGTGCAGGCCGGGGGGCGGTTCTCAGACACATCCATTCTGTAACGTGTCCGTGAGAAACGAGGGGGTTCATCTGCGTCTAGCACGGCCACTCTGATCGAAGCACGATCTTTAAAAGGCCCACGCCGAAGGAACCGAGGGTCCACGATGGGGTTCAGAACCTCCACTGAGAAAGAGTAGGAGCTACGGCTCTCATAGTCCACTGCCTGTAAACCAAACAAAAACATGAGTATGAAACATAAACGTAATGACAAGACCGAAATGCTCATACTGCCCACATGAGCGCCACAACTGAACATTATCACACTCACCACATATCACAGCTCATACCACAACCACAACCTATAGAATCTATGTACAGGAAAATAAAAAATAAAATCGATTTACTTTCTATAAGATGCAAAAGGGTGATAGAACTTAATGACATGATAGACTGTTCTTGGAGCGAAGCAAGAAAGAAACCCATCTGCTATGATAATACCTAATCAAATCGTTATATGTTTTTGGTGATGTTGTTGCTTGTGTTTGCAATATATGCTCCAACAATTGCATGACCTGAAAAGGCTGTAAAATTACAGTGGATAGAAACTGATAGGATAATAAATAAGCCAGTTTGCTATGCGAGTGGAAAATGTGGTGCCGATAGATCTTTGACATCCAGTTTAAACGTGAAGTGAGCAGTAAATTAAAGTGGATCGCTCTGACTATAATCAATGAAACTGTCTATACCACAAGCTAGTTTTGTTGAGCTGCTTTCTGCAATAATCCATGCCCAGGGCATGTCAACCTCACACTCCATCCCTGCCGACAATGACTTTGCTTTTAATTTGAACTACAAGCCACTGTATGGTATTCCAAGAATAGCACATTCTGACAGACTTTAATTACTGTTTTTTTAATTATTATTATCAGAGTCTCTTCAAATGCAATCACGTTCTCTGATGAGGTTGGCCATGATAATAGCAGGATCAGGGCCCAGAATTTATTGTATTGTGACGAGTCATGGGATCTGGATCTGGATATGGCACTGGGAGGGTTGTGTGTGAAGCTGGCACACCAGGAATGAGTAATGGGCTGGTTTTGGCAAGAGTAGCTGGACTGGGGCTTAAGGAAGTCAGAAATGACTGGCTCATTACGACGGTCACTTTTGTTACTTCATTTATCTACACACACACATTCATACACATTTGCCCACTCTCTCCCTAATGCAAGACCACGTGGAGGTTGGAAGGAGTCAGTGGGGCACACATCGGTTTCCTCTGACAAGCCGAAGGACAGACTGAAATGAGTGAATTCTGAAATGAATTAAACTGTGCTGACTGGAGGACATCAGGTCACTGTGGTCACTACAAATCTATGCCACTTTCACAGAGATCACATCAGAGTTGGACTCTTCGTCTTAAGGACTCTCATAAACATGGTCTGGGATTCATCACTTGGTATCTTGGCCTGGGTCTCAAAACTACAGGTAATGATCTTAGATTGTGGTCAAGAGACCTCAAGAAGTCATTCATAGAGCTGATTAACTCGATTGTAGGTCACTGAAGTGTCCAAAGAATTAGCAGAAAAAAGAAAGTCAAACAGGTCCAAAGTTACATGAGGGTTAATAAATGACAACATAATTTTATTTGTAAGACAGAAAAAGACAAAGACGTATTTTTTAAATGAAACAGTTTCTTAAAGGGGTCATATGATGCTATTTTAAAGATCATTATTTTGTGTATTTGGTGTAACAGAATATGTTGACATGCTTTAATGTTCAAAAAACACACTATTTTTCAAATACTGTACATTATTGTAGGTCCTCTATGCCCCGCCTCTCTCAAACCTCTTGATCACCTAATCATCATTTTAAAATGATTTTTGAAAGATCATGTGATACTGAAGACTGGAGTAATGGCTGCTGAAAATTCAGCTTTGCCATCACAGGAATGAATTACAAACGATAGTAGTATACAAGCTCACATAGACCAATAAACACTCTGCTATGAACTTATAAGCTGCAACAAGAAAGAAAGATTAAAATGACTCAGTCAAATCAGTGGGTAAGGGACAGTTGAAAGACAACTGAAATATAAACCTGAAAGGAACACGAAAAGAACAGAAATGAAGGTGAGAAAAAGAGGAAGATGCCAAAAAAAAGGGACAGAGAGGAAGAGGGATAAATGGAGAGAAAAGGTTTCTAACAGGATCCCATTAGTGGCAGAGAGAGACAATCTGTCTGAGGAGGAGAGATGTCACTTACACTGTGAGCACACACTCATCACCCCATCCCTTCCTCTCTCACATACTCAATCACTCACTCTCCCTCCCTCCTTCTCTCATCACTCCATCACACGCTCTCATTTTAAAATGATTTTTGAAAGATCATGTGATACTGAAGACTGGAGTAATGGCTGCTGAAAATTCAGCTTTGCCATCACAGGAATGAATTACAAACGATAGTAGTATACAAGCTCACATAGACCAATAAACACTCTGCTATGAACTTATAAGCTGCAACAAGAAAGAAAGATTAAAATGACTCAGTCAAATCAGTGGGTAAGGGACAGTTGAAAGACAACTGAAATATAAACCTGAAAGGAACACGAAAAGAACAGAAATGAAGGTGAGAAAAAGAGGAAGAAGCCAAAAAAAGGGACAGAGAGAGAGAGGGATAAATGGAGAGAAAAGGTTTCTAACAGGATCCCATTAGTGGCAGAGAGAGACAATCTGTCTGAGGAAAAGAGATGTCACTTACACTGTGAGCACACACTCATCACCCCATCCCTTCCTCTCTCACATACTCAATCACTCACTCTCCCTCCCTCCCTCTCTCATCACTCCATCACACGCTCTACGCCCCTCCTAGTGAGCAGCGTTCTGATACTGACATCTAGAATACACACTCATCTCTCTGAAGGTGAGAAAAAGAGGAAGATGCCAAAAAAAAGGGACAGAGAGGAAGAGGGATAAATGGAGAGAAAAGGTTTCTAACAGGATCCCATTAGTGGCAGAGAGAGACAATCTGTCTGAGGAAAAGAGATGTCACTTACACTGTGAGCACACACTCATCACCCCATCCCTTCCTCTCTCACAAACTCAATCACTCACTCTCCCTCCCTCCCTCTCTCATCACTCCATCACACGCTCTACGCCCCTCCTAGTGAGCAGCGTTCTGATACTGACATCTAGAATACACACTCATCTCTCTCTCACGCCTGTTTATAATAAACCTGCCTGAAAAGACCAGCCTGAATTGAATACACAGGCTGGTTTATGCTAGTTTCATGCTGGTCTAGCTAGGAAACTGATTTTCTTTTTTTTTTTTTTGAAGAATCGGGAAATTCCTCCTCCTCTCTCTCCTGTTTCACTCTCCAGTTTCTCTTTTAAATGGCTCTCCAGAGAAATAGCAATTATGGAAAATTAATTAGGCTCTCTATAGGGTCCACTATACTAAATTACGCTATATTCCATAACGCCATAAGCAGATCATTTAACTTTTCATTAAAATATGTACACTACCATTAAAAAGTTTGGGGTCGGTGAGATGTTTTTATTATTATTATTATTATTATTATTGTTGTCATTTAAATAATATGTACACTACCATTAAAAAGTTTGGGGTCGGTGAGATGTTTTTATTATTATTATTATTATTATTATTGTTGTTGTCTTTTATGCGGACTGCCTTTATTTGATCAAAAATATAGTAAAAGCGGTAATATTGTGAAATATTACAATTTATTTTATTTTAAAATGAAATTTATGTGATGGCAAAGCTGATTTTTCAGCAGCCATTCTTAAGTTTCACATGATCCTTCAGAAATCTTTCTAATATGCTGATTTGGTGCTCAAGAAACATTTATTACTATTATCAGTGTTAAAAACAGTTGTGCTGCTTAATATTTTTGTGGAGAAACCGTGATATATTTTCCCCCGGGATTCTTTGGTTCATTTATTTGAAACAGAAATCTTTTGTAACTTTATAAATGTCTTCAGTCACTTTTAAACTATTTAATGTGTACAAAACCTTGCTAAATAAAAATTATTTGACCCCAAAGTACCATGACAATATAAACCTGAAGACAAATCTATGGCTGTAAATAGAATAAAATGAATTTAACATTTAAACTTAACCCACTGCATCCCACCAAGAAATATTTAATGAGGGATAATAGCAATAATAATAATAATTTTATTTAAAATACATCTTTCATTCCCAATGCACTAAAACGCAAAAAATAATCAAAATTAAAAAGTGTAAATTAAATCACAGAGACAAAAAGGTTAAATGAATAATACTGAAGAGAGGGCTAAAAAGCTCAAAATACCAATAGCATCACTGTCTGTCTCCATACAAAGAAATGCTCACGAATGCGGTGACAAATTCATGGTTTGCCCTCAAGATTGGCGGAACGCCACTGCATGTGTGGGTATTTGGATCTACTCTCTTTGTGAATTTCTGATTTTGCCCCGTTTCTCTTTCTGTGCACAAACATGTTGGCTCTGTGCTCAAAATCCTCTGATTTGTCCGCAGCATGTCTTTTGCTTGCAAATGTACGTGCGCAAATGCATTCATTCAAAGATGACAGGCAGTCTTGAATCAGGTTGTCTTCCTGACACGACACCGGATTCATAGCCGCTCTCTCTCTCTCTCTCTCTCTCTCCCTTGTGTTTTAATTCGACTCTGGGACATTAAGCCCAGATTATCCTTTGAAGCAATTCACACACTACATTCTAACAATGTACTGCTTCCCTGCGCTCCCTCCTCGGTCTCCCCTTCATTCCTTGCAAACTTAAAGCTTACAAGCCTACATCTTCAAGTCCAAAAACCAGGTTTGACTCAATATTCCACTACATCAATACTGGTTCAAAAAATCCATCCCTCCAATTTTTTTCCTTCTCACTATAATTCTTCCCACAGTCCTTCATTGCTCCCTCAATCACGATTTATTTCGATCTCTCCCTCTTTGTCTCAGAGAAGATTAACGCAGTCTCTCCTCTCAGAGAGAAAACAGATAATACAAACAGCACCACAGGTTAATGGCCGTGGATTAGCTACATGGTTAAGGTGAGTATATATGGAAATAACTAAGGGAAGACAGATTTACAGCATCCACAGCTGTTTCTAAAACTCAGCTGGCGGAGGATGACACAAACAATAGCAAGGTCATGAGTCTGATTCTCAGGGAAATTTAGCCTAAATGATGCATGCACTGCATAA